TCCTCCACGGTGTCAAGCGGCGGGTTGTCGATGATGTGCCTGTCTACCACGCGTCCAAACTGGGCCCAGTTTACGTGATGATAGTCCTTGCGCAGGCTTGAAGCAGGAGCCACGTTGCAGCCCAGCTCAGACACCACCGGTTGGTGGTCGGAGCTGAGTTCGTTCAAGGCTACCGGCTTGGACAAGCCGATATTTGTCAGGAACAGGTCTAGCGTCGATGGGTTGCCCGCCGGTGAGATGAATGTTGGTTCATCCGAAAACCAAACGGAGTACAGCCCATGCTGTGAGTGGTCGAACAGGAGACGACCGTTCTGGTTCTGCTGGTAGTTCCGCCAGGCCTCATGGCGAGCATTCAGATCTCCTCCAACTACGAAGCGGGAACCGGTACGGGTGATGGTGGACAGGTCCTTCTTAAATTTAGCCGCTAGTCCACTGCTGGCGGCACACTGTCGAGGGCAGTAGACGGCGATGAACTGGACGTATGGGACAGAGTGTGCGGATATGGGACAGAGTGTGGTATTTTATTCCTTTCTTGACGACGACCGCAACACCACCCCCCTGGAGCTGGTGCGATCAAGCCAGATAATATTGTGGTCAGGCAACCAGAAGCTGTCGCCGGACTTTAGATGGGTCTCGGTTAGAAGGCCCACGTCGATGCTGTGCTTGCGGAGGAAGTCGGCAAGCTCAATTCTTTTTGCTCTTACGGAGCAAGCATTCCAGGTGACGATAGTTAGCGGTTTAGACGCCATACTGGATGATGAACTTACCGAGCACTTGGATCTGTTCGGGCTTATTGCGGCACTTACGAAGAGCACCGGACATGTTGACGAAAATTTCCATCAGTTCATCCGCTGAGAACAGATCGGGGTTGTTGTTTTGCGTTGTTGGTTGTCTCCAGAATCCAGGGGGAGATGGAGAGCTTTGGCCAGCAGAATCACCGGAAGCTTCTTGAGGAGGGGCGGGTTGCACCCGCGAATTCGCTTGCCTTTGCTGGGGAGCACGAAGAGGCGGAAAATCCTCCGTCCTGAATGCTGGAGTTTTGTCCTTCTTGCGTCCTGGTTGATTGTTGCTTGACGCCTGCTTTCGGATGCGTTTGAAGTCCTCGCGTTTGGAGCACTGTCTGTCGGAACCTTGATGTGCACCACCACAGTTGGCGCATTTTAACGCCACGGCTCCATCCGCAGGGCAGTAGGAAGTGGCGTGTTCTTGAGCGCAGTTGCTGCAGCGTGGCTTGATGTTGCAGTTGCGGGTACCGTGACCAAAATTGATTCACCGCTGGCACTGCGTTACGTCACGATGGCCGCCACGGTATGGCTCCCATCGTACGATGATGGAGTAGATCGATCGGATGGCTTGCAGCGCATTGAGAGTCACCGTCCCTTTCTGGAAGTGCACCAGGAAGAGGCAATCCGGGTACGTCTTCACGTTTTCGTCTCTCCTTGTCATTCGGAATACAGCGATTGGGGCTAGCTTGTGTCGGTTGATTTCAGCTTCGACCATCTTGATGTCGAAATTTGGTAGACCCCTGATGACTACCTTGAAGGGCTTCTCACCGGGGATGTCGTGCGTGAAGAATTCCGCCTTGGAATCCTTCAGATATTTCACGGCCACTTCGTACTCCGCTTTTGTTCGCAGCATCACCTTGGTGCCGATCCTGCCGAGCTTAAACTCAGCGGCAACGCCCAGCGATGAGAGATCGCCAATCAGCGTGTTGAGTGGTACTTGCTTCACCACCAGTGGAGGAAGCTTGATTTTCACCGCACTCGGGCCGGCAGAATTCTCGGTTTCGACGGCGTCGCCGAAATCACCGATGTCACTGGCGTTCGTCGCGGTAACATCGTCGCGTCCGCTCGTACCATCGGACTGACCTTGGTTCTTCTTCCTCTTTTTCGTCCGCTTCACCGGGACTGGGTTGGTATTTCCAACATCGGTGGGCAGAGTAGCGTACCTATTTGAGGTAGGTACCGAGCTACCCTCACCACTGTTCTTCTTCTCCGCTTGGTCACGAAGTCTGCTCCGAGAGCGCTGTCTTCCCATCACGCTATGCGACCGACACTACTGACGACGCGACGTGCAGTATATCTGCGAACGTTTGTAACAAACTATAGGTTAATCAAACAACTCGACAGAGCGAGCAAAGACCGAACTGTACTGCTTGACGTTCAAGCAGCTAATGATCGAGCTTAACGTAATGATCTTTACAGGTAACTTTTAATATCTGAAGGTTACGTTTTTTTTTCAGTGAAATTTATGTGACAAATTTTTTAGTGTAAAATACAAATCGAGCTGAACATTGCATTAGGTCCTAAAAAACATTTATCAATTCTTTTTGTCGACTTTCTTTTTCGTTAATAACATGAGCACTAAGGTGTTTCATTCGTGAAAAAAAGATTGATATTTTTGATAGGCCACCCCCTAGTTCAGTTCTTAACACAAAAACAAACATCTGTGCAAAGAATCAGCTAAATTGGTCAACGTTAAGAGGTCGCGCCAATGATTTTAATTTTGATCGGGTTTTTCGTCAAATTAGTATGGGAGAAATTGATGACCCACTAAAATCATTCTAACTTTTTTCCTAACGATCCGATTTGCATGAAATTAAAATATGTTATACTTAAAACTATAATGAATAACTTTGTTCAAGATTGTAAGTAGATTTGATGCTTCAGAAAACAGAAATTGGCTTTCGGAACTCAGATTGCAGATAAACTTTGATTTGAGCAGAAAAACAGGTATGCTGATAGGGCATATTTCATAGTATGCTTTGCCAGATTTTTTTTACCTCAATGTTTATAAACATATTGTGCTGTCATCTCTGGATACAATAGTGCCATGGAGTTGAGAAGTGATACGGAGAAGCAGTTGATTGGTCAGCCCATTATTAGGTTCACCGGTGGAAAACTTCCGAATTACCGAGAAATACTGCAGCTCTTCACAATCTCGCTCCACGATACGAACCTGCTGGAAGGTGGTTCAATTGGCAGAACAAGTTTAGGTCAGGGCTCGTATCCCAATGAGGAAAACCAGGCTTTGGAAAAACTTCATGATAGGTGGACAAACATAAAAAAAAGTATTTCTCACATTGACGACAAATTTGTTCAGCAAAGAAAAGCTTTCAACGAAGGATTGGACAACCTTTTCGATATGGCTCATTTGAATGCCTTGGAGATGATTACGGAAGCAGAAGATCGCGATTTCATTTTAGCGCAGAGAGGAGACCAGGATTCATGTTGGGCTCTTAGAGCGACGCATGTGATGACGGTAAGAGTCTGAAGGAATCGGAAATCAAGGAGAGGGCCGGAAAACGCATCAATCAAACAGCAGCTATCAATCCATACTCTGAAGTGCAAATCGGTTAATTAGGAAAAAAAGTTAGAGTGATTTTAGTGGGTCATCATTTTCTCCCATACTAATTTGACGAAAATCCCGAACAAAATAGAAATCATTGGCGCGACCTCTTAACGTTGACAATTTAGCTGATTCGTTGCACAGATGTTTGTTTTTGTGTTATGAACTGCACTAGGGGGTGGCCTATCAAAAATATCAATCTTTTTCCAGAATGAAACACCCTAATGAGCACCTAACCGTTTCTTGTTGTGTTTGTGTTATTAGATGCTAGATAAAAGCTTCTTTTATCGATATATGTTCTGAAAATACTTGGGAATGTCTTTACATGGCCGTGGGGATACAAAGAGAAAGTCGACGAAGAGAATCTGTCAATGTAACTTAGGACCTAATGCAATACTCAGCTTGAATTGAGCTTTAAATTTTAATTTTCAGGTAAACGATTTCAAAATCATCATTATCGAAAAAAAAAACGCGGCATTGTGATGTACACTCAAATTTGTTTTTACGAGATCACGTGATCACGAGATCGCAAATAACAACCAAATTTACGGAAAATTGTTGAAAAAAATCACAGAAAAATATCGTAATATTAAAAATCCTCCTGTATAAAGCCAAAGTTGAAAAATAAAAATCGGGCGAAACAGAATTGAATCGATAAGGTAAATGTCAACTTCAACAGGCACAACAGGCAACGATTGATTTCAACAAACAATATGGTAAAATCAATTTAACTGGACTTTACTAAACACATCGCTGAATGAATTTAAACGATTTTTAAGTCTTTTAGTTACAATCAATTTCAATTTTCAGGAAGTACAAACGCATTTCACAAGGCTTATTTTAAAAATTGTCAGTAGTAGAACAGATAATTAATTCCAGGCAATTTAAATAAAAAAGGAACAGGGGGCCTCCCTTAGTTCAGTCGGTACAGGTGCAGATACAAAGCATGACCATGCTGGAGGTGGCTGAGTTCGATTCCCAGTCTGGCCTAGGAATTTTTCGGATTGAAAAATTTTTCGTCTTTCCTGGGCATAATAGGGTATAATTGTACTTGCCACACAATTATGCTAATGCAAAAATGGTACAGGCCTCGCAAGCTCTGAATTAATAACTGTGGAAGTGCATCTAGAATGCGAGGTACAAGAAGAAGCGGCTGACAATAGCTACCAAGAGGTTTAAAGAGTTTAAAATCGTGTTTCAATAATTTGAAAATATTCTATCCATTGGAATGGATAGTTAAACCAGGAGCAAATATCTTTAAACAAGCAGACTTTTCTTATCGGACCGTATTCTGCTTAGATTGACGGGAATACGTACTATAAATTTTCACTTCTTTCAGAATAATACCAAAAAAGACTGTCTTACTTCACAATAAAATTAAAATAATAATCAAACTCAATTATTTCCTTTCTTTTTCTTAATTTCAGGTATGTGTCATCGGATATGCATGAATCATTGTTTATTAGCTCAAACACGTCCTTGAATGTTACCAAGCTAGGTTGAACTGTGAGTACAATTAAGTATTCTCGGATGAAAATTGTATATATCAAACGTTCTGAATTTTCCGATCCCAAATCATAATCCACTTCAAAAGAATTCACCACAAATTGAAAACAGTAGATATTTGAGCAACGCATTCCAGCTAAACCTACCTCTCCTGCAGTACCAGCGCGTCATACGGTTCGATTAGTAACCTATCTCGTTCAACTGAGTCCCTGTTGGCGAAACAAGCAAACAATAAGGCAAATTGTTATTATTAGCCGCAAAATACAACCCATCGGCCGTCGCTCTCGTGCTTGTCGATGAGTGCGATAATTTATGTGGGATCACTTCAATAAAAAAAAAACATAAACCTATACGTACACTCTTATCGTTCTCACTATCAAAACGGGATACATTTACCATGCTGGTGATAACATTGAACACTTTTTACACACCTAAAATCAAGCAGAAATATCACGCAAACAAACACTGACCGGCAGTTTCCAAAACAGTTCGAATCGAATGCACTTTTTCCCTTCAACCTTCTTTTCCTCAACCAAGATTCAATGGATGCTGCAGTGTCAGCCCCTCCGCGTATGTAACTGACGTTGATTGACAACATTTCTAATCGTCAACGACTTGCTTGACCGAGAAAGAAAAAACAATAGCTTTCTGGCAGCTCTTCGAATCAGCACAAGGTGTGTTGTCCCATGGCGTTACTGATTGATAGAGTGAAACGGCGGTGGCACCGAGAGCAGCGCCCGGCTCGGTGTCCAACGTCAAGATCTGAACAAACAAAAAAGCATGCAACGAGAAAACACGGCACACAGTCGAATGACATTTACTTTATTGGACAGGTGATGGCTAATTATGGACGTCCCCAGCTGGGACTCTTACCCTGTCGAGATGCTGGAGCTAGACGATGCGACTGCCACCTTCAAGTGCTGTGAAAGTCGAGGGAAAATTGACAAATCAACAAGTTGCTCCCGTGGGCCGAGGTTCAACACGACTACGAAACTATCGTGGTTCGTTAGTTCTCTGGATTAAAGTGGATGTTAGTTGATTAGCGGGTAGCAATGTAATGAACATTTACCTGATAAACAGAACCACCTCGTCATTGTACGGGATAAGTTGAATTGTCCCCTTCCGGAATGTATCGTATTTTCGAAGCTCGACAAGCAGCTGATAGGTTTTATAATGGCTTTTTTCGGCCTGTTTTTGGTTTTTCAAATTGAGTTCGACGTAGTTCGGATTGATAGGTAGCCACGTTTTAGAAGCGGTGGAAAACCCACCATTCATGCTATCATCCCACTGGAATGGTGTCCGTTCCGGATCACGCGAAAAGTCTATAAAGATTTGGTTATTGATATTCCTTGCCGTAGGATCCCGCGTATCTTCCCTTGGAATATCCTTAAAGTCTTCCATACCGATCTCTTCGCCGTAGTAGGTCACGGCAATTCCGGGAAGCGTCATCAGCAGCATATTGATAGAATCGATCCGTTCCGTTCCGTATCGCGATCCAACCCGGGGCTGGTCGTGATTTCCTATGACCCAGTTAGCTTCCTGATCACGAGGCATGTAGGTCAACCATTTATTGATGGTAAAAATGAAATCCTGGGAGCTGGAGGCCCGATTCAAGTCGGTTATCAAAAGAAAGTTGAACGGCATGTGTGAGCCAAGTCGAGTGCCGTCCGTCGAGCGGTAGTACTTCATTGTGAAGGTAATGTTGGCGTAGGCTTCGGTCATCATGATTCGCGCTGGCCCCCCGTGGTCCTGCGTCCATCCGTCCAGGAGGGATCGCCAATGGTATACCGTGTCGTAAACTTCTGGCTGGAATAATCGGAAATGGAAAATCAACTGTTTTCTACATATATCAACGCTCAAGATTCGGGAATGCTCCTGTTAAATGAGGGGCTCGGTTTCCCAGTGGTGACCATTTTTTGTTACTGGGCAGAACATCGTGGGAGTAGCTATTCTCCTCAGCGTACGCAAAGTTTAGAGAGGAAAATAACAATGCACTCACCAGTCCACATGGTACTCTCTTGCCGTGCGGATCTATTTACTTTTTTGCTAAAAGAAGCGTTACTGCTACCTAAGGCTACAACAAATTTAAACAGCACTTTTCAGTGCTCAATATAGGGGAAATGGATGTAATGTCGGCCTTAATGCCCCTAATTTGGGCCCATACATACATTTATCAATCGACAAAATTTTCAATAGCGACCAAAAATATCCATTAGTACCGTCCCAATGACGCGTTCATCTAGATAAAATGGATAAATAGCAGCTTTTTAGCGATGAGCCATTTTCCCAACCTGCAAATTTTATAGTTTGTTCGACTCTTATTCCTCTTCGATCCTTCTTTGAACCCTACCCGAGGTAATCCTGCTTGGACATCAACTTGGAAAATTCCTCTTCGATCCTTTGGATTTTTATAGTTATCTGCTTGGAAGTCGATTTGGATAAACGTTTTACTGACGTCATGGCGCCTAAGCGTAAAAGAAAAAGGCAGGCTCTTGATCCCCCTTCTGACGAAATTAATTTGAACAATCAATTCGATATGCTGACGGATGATGAGAATGAGGCAAATTTCCACTAAACTTTTCCGGCTTAATACCAAAAAAGAAAAGGTCACAATCTATGCTCATCGCACGGAACTTTTGAACTTCGTTCAATTCAAGTTTTCACTTCAAATTGGCCGTCGGGTGAATGCCGTGAAGCAACACAACACACTTATGAAACCAAAACTGAAAGTCTGTTCATGGTTGTCTTGAAAGGTCTGCCCAGTGGTGAATCTCTGGATCAGATCAAAGATGAGTTGACTAAATTACAGTGTACTCTCTACAACTCGATCGATTATTGAGTTACAGAATAACAATTCCATACAAAATCGCTACCACAGTAGCCATGAAATCAATGTTTGCTATGGTTCTATAACTTGATATCGAGCTAGTGGACATCGAGTTGTAGAGAGTTGACTGTACTTGGAGTTGAGCCAATCCAAGTAATCAAAATAAAAATGATATCCCGTCCAGGTGATTCACGCAACGGGATTTCCAATGATTTTTATTTAGTTCACTTCGAATCTAGTGAACTAAACAACCTTAAGGCCTCTGACAAAGCTAGCCTTATGCTTCATGTCCAAGTGAAGTGGGAACACTTCAGGAAGACTGGAGGAAATTTCCAAAACCTCTCCCAGTGCCGTAAATGCCAGGGATGGGGTCACGGAAGCAAACAATTGCTTTTTGGGTTCAAAATGCATATTTGTCTATCCCGTATCCAAAACAAAATTTGATAAATTACTTCTAGGTAGAGGGCCCTACTCGGGATATGCGGAATCTGAAAAATCCTGAATCCCTAGATTTCCCGAAAATTGAGAATTTATAACCTTGAATAACACTAAAAAAGAAAAACAAAATGCCTGACCGATTTATCAAACTACAATGATTGAGTCAAGGCAGCACATAATACGCTTTGTTAATATTTACTTGAATTTTGATAAAATTCGCCTTCGAAGGTTTGAAGCCTATTTGATTCGTTAATGAAGTTGAAGGAATCGAGATACTAGATTATCGGCGTCTGAAGGTGGCTGAGCTGTTGTTGTGGATAGTCCTTCCAAATTCATCAAAATGTTTCAAGATGGTTTTGGAGCGCGGCATTAGTTTTATTTTTTCCAGTTCGGCAATATTTTACCAAAATTTACAAACTCGAGAGTGCTCGGCATTAAATTTTACTATGATCTTAGCAAACATGACGTATAACATTTTCCAAGACTCAGAAGCCAACCGTCACTTTTGCGGAGATCTCTAATTGTTTGGGAGACTTCCAGACATTTCTAAAAAATGTCGGGCGGAGCGATACAAAAATTTGGATTTTCCAGATAAATCTAAAAAAGGTTCGCATTGCTGGATGGAAGATGAAATAAGAAAATTTGTTTTGCTCAAATTGATCGCATATCATAACCCGAAGTGGTCAGCTAAAAAAATCGCGAATTAAAGGGTGATACGGTCAAAATTTGGTCAATATCAACTTGACGTATTTGTTTCAATTTTGCATTTAAAAAACCTGAACACCCCTCATTTTGAAGGTGTGTGTGTGTAGAATGTTGCTCCTATTTTGATTTTGGAATTCACTCTTCAGTTGTCAAAATGCCGTCCAAGCAAGAAGAGCAGCGTATCAAAATTTTGCTCGCGCATCGCGAAAATCCGAGCTACTCGCACGCAAAGTTGGCAAAATCGCTAAAAGTTGCCAAATCAACCGTTACAAATGTAATTAAAGTGTTTGGGGAACGTTTGTCGACAGCCAGGAAGTCTGGATCGGGGGGAAATCGAAAACCGGAAGCCGCTGAGACGACAAAGAGAGTTGCCGGTAGTTTCAAGCGAAACCCTAACCTCTCTCTCCGAGATGCCGCAAATAAGCTGGGTGTATCGTCTACAACCGTGCATCGAGCCAAAAAACGAGCCGGACTATCGACTTACAAGAAGGTAGTGACTCCAAATCGCGATGATAAACAAAATACGACGGCCAAAGCGCGATCCCGGAAGCTATACACGACGATGCTGACGAAGTTTGACTGCGTGGTAATGGACGACGAAACCTACGTCAAAGCCGACTACAAGCAGCTTCCGGGACAGGAGTTTTATACGGCAAAAGGAAGGGGAAAGGTAGCAGATGTTTTCAAGCACATGAAACTGTCAAAGTTCGCAAAGAAATATCTGGTTTGGCAAGCCATCTGTACCTGTGGCTTGAAAAGCAGCATTTTCATAGCTTCCGGGACTGTCAACCAAGAAATTTACGTGAAAGAGTGTTTGAATAAACGTCTGCTGCCTTTCCTGAAGAAACACGGTTGTTCCGTACTGTTTTGGCCGGATTTGGCATCTTGCCATTACGGTAAAAAGGCCATGGAGTGGTACGCCGCCAACAACGTGCAGGTGGTTCCCAAGGACAAGAACCCTCCCAACACGCCAGAGCTCCGCCCAATTGAGAAATACTGGGCTATTGTCAAGCGGAACCTAAAGAAGACCAAAAAAACTGCTAAGGGCGAGCAGCAGTTCAAGGCAAACTGTCTTTCTGCGGCGAAGAAGGTGGACAAGGTGGCTGTACAAAATCTGATGGCAGGGGTCAAGCGTAAGGCCCGGCAATTCGGATTTGGAAAAGCGGAAGCCTAACTGAATATTTTTCCTGAATTTTATACTAATTGAACTTGAAAAAGAAATTTAATTTGATTTTTTAAATAAACGATTTCACCGATTTACACGCGTTTTCCCTTGACCAAATTTTGACCGTATCACCCTTAAGTGTAACAATTATGCCGCTAAAACCCAGGTTTTCGCCACAAACTTGAAGGTGAAGAACAGTTTAATCAAGAGTGACTGAAAAAACGCCTTCTACCGATTATTAAGACACACAAAGAACCTGTGAGGTTTTGTCGAGGGAAATATGAGACGGGGTGGAAGGAAAGGGCGGGGGTTGAATTTTCTTAAATTTTGCATGTCCCTTAAGATGTGTAGGGCATTTAATAAAAACAGAATTGAGTATAGACAAATCAGAAAAATACGCTGTATGGGGAGAAAGGGGGTTCTATAATTTATGAAAAATATGCTGTACGTCTTTCAAGTATGCTCACAGTGCTGCTGTTTTAGATGCTGTTTCATATAAAAATTCCCTTAACACTCAACACTTTCAACTTACCAAATCTTTCGTGTAGTAATGGTGCGTAAATCCATAGGACAATGGGTCCGGATCCGTTCCCGTTTCCGGTTCGTCGCGAAAATCTTCCACCTCAAACAGATGGTTCACCGCATCTATCCTGAATCCAGCCACACCTTTGCCCAGCCAAAACCGCATCACCTCGTCCATCCGTTGCACCACGGCCGGATTGCGAAAATTCAGATCCGGTTGCTCTTTCGTAAATTGATGCAAATAGAACTGCCTACGCTGCGGGTGATACGTCCAAGCCGAACCGTAGAAAACCGATTGCTGTAATTGGACCAACCATAATTGAGACACACCATACTAAATAATAAACGAAATGAGAAACTACTACCCAATTGTTCGGTGGTAAAGGCTCGCCTCCCGTCGGGTTCTCCCGCCCATCGTGCCACACGTAGAAATTCTCATACTCCGGGTCTCGCGAAACGGAGCGCAAAAACCATTCACACTGATCGCTGCTATGGTTCGGTACGAAATCGAGCACTACCCTAATACCCAATCGATTCGCTTCCTGCATCATTCCGTCGAACTCCTCCATCGTGCCGTACTCGGGCTGAATGGCCATGTAGTCGGCAATGTCGTAACCAAAGTCAACCATCGGTGAGCGAAAGATGGGGGACATCCAAGTTGCACCGATTCCCGCATCCCGCAGGTGCTGCAGCTTTGAAGTTATGCCCCGAAGGTCCCCCACACCGTCACCGTCGCTATCCATGTAGGACCGTGGGTAGATCTGGTAGAACACGGTATCCTGCCACCAGTCCCGGGAATCACTGCCGCTGCAGTGAATCGTTGATAATATTGCAAACAGCAGGATTATTCGATATAATCCCCTTTGCCGCTGCCAGTAGTGCAGCAACAGGTAATTTATCATTCCGTCGTTTCAATTGATTACAGAGGAACCCACGGCGGAGCTTATTTGGATGCAGAAGGGCAATCCTCGAAAAAATAGAGGATGGAATAGTGAGGTGAGTGTCGTTCCACAGGAGGGCCTTCGTTCCGAGCGGTTAGCTTGACATCTGTGAAAAGAATAGAAAATGGCTGTGCTTTGAGTTTCTTGATTGGATTCGGAGCTGATGGAAATTTTCAGAGGACTTTGCGAAAAGCTACTGCCTGTCATTGGGTAGTGTTTGTAACACCAAAAACAATAGTATTCAACGTGAATTGGATTATTATGAAATGTGAAGAACGTAGACGAAGGTTCGTGTTGCACAGTGAAATTAGCCGTACATTTATTTCTGATGGAATCCCTACGCAAACATTTCACATGTATCTGAAAGTGAACATTTTGATTATTATTTTTTTGTTTTCACAGTGATGAATTTACCGTTCCTATTCAAATTTCGGACGATTCAAATTTCGGACACTTTCATTTTTAATTAAATATTACATCCAGTTAGAAACAAAGTAATAATGTTAGATGATCGTGGAGGGCACTAGTCAAAAAAATTTAAAAATTACAAGACATGTGGATCATATTCGACCGAGATAATCAACTTTTAAAAGTGTCCGAAATTCGAGTTTAAGTGTCCGAAATTTGAATCGGCACGGTATATAAACTTAAAAAATAACGTTCCCATCCCATCCCAAAATAATGTCTTTGTTCTGCCTTCAATCAAAGATACCCATATTAGTATGTCAAGTTTGCCGTGACCTTAAACATCTGTGGCTATAAATTATTCATGATGGGTTCAAAAAGAGTAAATCGCTTTCTCCATTCCGAGGGTTGAAAACGCATAAACAACGGCACAAAAGGTGTTAAAGTGGGTGCCTATACCGTTTTCCACATCACTGCCAGTTCAGTCAAGCCTGACTCTTTGTTGTTATGTCCTGCACTTATCGGAATGCTGATTCGACAACACATGTTTAGGACTAGTTAGCGCAAAAATTGTGTATCCACCCAAGGGATTTGATATTTTTGTCCCTTACTGTGGAGAATCCTTCGACTTTTAGTAGGTCAGGACGATGACATGCACAGCCGAGGGAAACAGATCCAGGAAATACGAACCATTCGGGCAAAAGAGAAAACGTTAATCCAGCGACCGTACTTTGTTTTTCCACATCTCATTTGGCAAACATGTGCAAGATTTGTCCATCGCCTACCTACTTTTGTTGCTGTGGTAGCTTGTTTTCCCGTTCTTGAGGCACGAAATTTGGGGATTTCCCAGAACCGTCTCGTCGTTGAATCGTAAAGCCGTCTTTTAGCCACCATGCTTACCGACGCAAGTGAGATGGGGTTTGTTTTAATTTGATTCTTTCGAGTGAGTTGTGCCTAGCCGCATTTTTTTTTTCATCCTTTCGGGGCAAAAGCTCAAGGAAAATGGTGTATCAAATGGGATCCATTCATCCCTTTCTCCAGTGCTGCAGTAATGCAGCAAAAGTAGGTAGGTAGGTACCCATTCTAGGCGAGAGTAAACTTGAGTAGGCTTAACTCTTCTGGGGATCAAGGTTAGGTTAATAAATACATTTGATGCTGCAGTCTAGCGGTGTATTCTTACAGGTGGAGAACGGATATTTTTGAGGAGCCTTATTGCAAAGTGTGTGGCAAGGTGTAAAGGCGGTAAAGGTGTTATTTGTCAAGATAGGGTCAGACACGGTAGGCCTTTTTCATTAGAATATATTTTATATAAAATTATATTCTCCCGGATAAGTGAATCGAAACCATGGCTGTGAAGACGGATGAAAATCGATCGATTCCGACTCCAACTCCTATTCAAACAAAGTACAACTATTGCATAAACGAATAATAGTAAAAATTGCACCAAAATGTTAAGCACTTTTAAGCAAACAAAAATCTTGGGATTATAATTTTTTTAGCAGATATTTCACACATTTTTAATAAAGATTCTTGTTCATATTTGGAAACAGGGTGCCTTCCATTCATTTTGACTAAAAAAATGTTTTATGAAATTATGGAATAATAGGATATTATGATGATATTTTGTATGTGTAAGTAATAAGAAAAGATTGTAAAGTTTGTGTTTCACACATCAAACCTGCAAATTTAGCTTTGACAGAGTCACAATGAGCGTTTTTCTGATCGCCTCTTCGCGAAGAGTGAAGAGCGAAGAGTGGGTGAGATAAATTACAAAATCGCTTATTGCGACTCTCATGTAGCAAAATTGGCAGGTATTATGTGTCAAACATAAGCTTAACAATCTTTTCTTGTGGTTTACATAATCAAAATATTTTCATAATATCTTATTATTCCATAATTTCTTAAAACATTTTTTTAGTCAAAATGAATGGAAGGCACCCTGTTTGGAAATACTAGCTGTATGACAGTAAACTGATACAATTAAATTATAAATAAAAACAGTAATCGTACAATGGAATATAATGTGAAGATATTTTAATAACATTGTTCCAAGGCCAATGCTTTCAACCTTTATTTTATTTTTAATAACTACTAGCTAACCCAGCAGACGTTGTCTTGCATAAGAATGATATTTCTCGGTGGCTTTATAATAAAAAAGTAGAAGGGTCTGTGCCTGGGCACGAACGGAAGCTGGACGTCGGATCGCTAGTGGACGGAATAAATGTGAAGAGCATTTAGTTCTTTTAATTGATCAATTATCTATTATCTCAACTCTTTCCGTTTTTGAATTGTAGGCGTACCAAATTTGTAGTAATTTTTTTCAAAGAGAAAGTTGATTAAGAGAATCGATCAAAATCAATTGCAATCCTGCTTCCAAGTTTCGTTAGGTACATGATTACAACTCTGGAGAGCATTTCGTGTGGTCGTTGGGAGCTTGTGGTTCTGAATATGGACAAACAAGCACAGATAAATTCTACTCCAACTCCTTACTGATGTAAGCTTGATGGCCCTGAAAAGGGCAGTTTTATTGAAGAGGACATCCATGGCTACTTACGCTTGGCGTGTTTAGTGTAGGTGACAGCATCACGGACCTCATTTTCCAGGAACACCTTCAGCACACCTTCTAGATCAGACCGAAGATACGTTTGACACCACCACGGCGAGCCAGACGACCGATGGCGGTTATCTCGAAGAACTTTGCGATGACGCTTGGCGCCTCATTTACCAGACCTTTCCTCCTTTGCCACGACCAGTCAATTGTTGCTTGTTAGGTGTGAAGGAGTGGACTAGCCACCACCTTCCGACTGCTGATATTGCTGTTTACCACGCCGTCCGAAGCGAAAATGAGCTAATGCCATGATCTTTTTGTTTTTGATCTTTATTTCAGTTCAACTTGGATGATTACCATGTACATTTGTCTAAGTGATTTAATTGCTTTCTTCATCTTTAGGTATGGGCAAAATTCAAAATTTGTTTTACAGAATTAGTCCTAGACTTAGTACACGGTCGACCACCTTGGTGGGATTGGTTCGTTTTGTTTTTAGAATTTGAAGAGAAACTACTTAATACTACTATTTACAGCTTAAAACTAACCTAATCTACTATATACACTTAACCTGCTATGTACAAATTACTTATTAAAGCATGTTCAGAAAGATTGCATTTTTGGATAAATTTAGTTGTCATATCCTTAATTTTGGAATCTATTTTGGGAATTTCTGCCTCTTGATGGAGGTCTGCTATTCTTGTGTCGAATGGACGATCTAGGATCATCCTCAACACTCTATTCTGTGCAACCTGGATTTTGTTCCTGTGGGTCTGAGCGCACGATTCCCACACCGGGGCGGCATAGAAGATCGCGGGGGCTATGATCTGTTTGTAGACAGCCAGTTTGTTTTGCCTTGAGAGGCGGGATCTGCGGCAAATGAGCGGATACAAACACCTAACCAAGGCGGAGCACTTAACTAGGGTTTTCTCTATGTGCGAGCGGAACAGGAGCTTCTCATCGAACAACATCCCGAGATAAGTAACATCAGCGGACCACTCGACCCTTGTACCATCCATTAATATGGTACAGGAGGGAGACGGTTTAAGTTTTGGTGATTGTCTGTGAAGGAACATGATCGCTTGGGTTTTCGAGGCGTTGATTTTGATTTTCCACGTGGTGGCATAATCAGTAAAGGTGTCAAGGCATCGTTGGAGCTTGTTCGTAATTTCACGAGGCATCCTACCCTTGACGGCTATCGCGGTGTCATCTGCGAACAGGAAGGACACGCAACCGTCTCCTAGAGGAGGGATGTCTGACGTGTAGATGCTGTAAAGCAGTGGTCCCAGCAGACTCCCTTGCGGAACACCAGCTGGGATCGGAAATTGTCCCGAAAGGGAACTATTCAACGACACCCTGAACGACCTTTGTTGGAGGTAGTTACGGGTGATTTTCACAAGGTATGGTGGAAAGTTCGAGTTACAAAGCTTGTATATAAGTCCGTCGTGCCAGACATTGTCAAACGCCTTTTCGACGTCTAACAAAGCCATGGCTGTGGACTTGGATACAGCTTTGTTACTTCGGATGTTATTCATCACCCGCACTAGCTGATGATTGGTGGAATGCCCCTTGCGGAACCCGAACTGTTCCGGAAGAAGAATGTCATGTTCCTCCACAAACTTGTTTAGTCAGCTGAGGATCAATTTTTCGAACAGCTTGCTCAGTGCTGAGAGCAGGCTAATCGGTCTGTAGCTTGACGGTAGTGAAGGGTCTTTCCCAGGTTTGCGGATCGGGATGATTTTTGCCACCTTCCAGATGCTTGGAAAGTAGTGCAGCTCCAGGTACCTGTTGAGGATGGCAGCCAGCTGCGAGTGCACCCTCGCGCTGAGATTTTTCAACTCTAGGTTGAATATTCCGTCAAACCCGGGAGCCTTCATGTTCTTACTGTGTTTCAGCGCTGAGCAAATTTGTTCCTCTGTAATCCGTTCTTCTGGAGGGGCGGTACAAGGGGAGGCATCTAACGTCTGAACGCACTGCGCAACCTGGTGCTCGAGTGGACTTGGGATTTTGCAGCCAAGCAAATGCGACTGGGCAATGTGCTCCCCAATCGCATTGGCTTTCTCTTCGTTGGTGATAAGCCGTTCGTCATTGACTCTAAGTGGTGGAATGGGCTTGGGGTGAAACTTCAGCACCTTGGCAACCTTCCAGAATGGTCT